CCCCGCGCTGGGTGGGCGAAACTTGGCCCCAAGCAGAAATAGGCGTTGACAAAAAAAAGGAGGCTCGGGCGTGTGCTGGTGGTTTTAGTGGGGTGGGGCCTCAGGCTGATTAAGATTTGGTGTGGACTGTTTGGATTGCCTTACCTGGATGATCGACCTTCCTAATGGCTGGGTACACAAATGTGGGTGAAGTGGAGATCCCATAAGCATCTTGGATTAGCTTCAAAAGGGAAAAAAAGAGAGATGAAGGGTGTGGTTGCTCTCTTTGGTGTCTTCAACCTTTTATCCTTCTTCCGAAGAAAAAAAAATAAAATGCATTCACATAAATGCTCCACCGGATAAGTAAGAAATGTGGGGACCACAGCGATGGGAGAAAAGAAAATTGGACATTGAACAATCAACAGTCCTGTCCACCAGTTTTCTGAAATGGGAAAAAAAAACAAAGAAGTTTTGTGTGTAGAAAAAAAAACAAAAAAGTACTTGCTTGGTTAGAACTTAGAATATAGGGCCATGCTCACCCTCGGATGTATATAGGCTTTATCTGTAGTGAAGTGCATGCAACGAATGCCTAGTGCAAGTATGCATGCCCTAACACCACTTTGCAGCCACAGATATAATTGGCCTTGTTCCGCTACTCGGCAAATGTGAAAAAAGTAAAAAAAAGTAAAAAAAAAAAAAAGAGAAAAGGTGAAATGGTGAGTGTAGTGAAATGGCTAGTGTAGTGTATCTTTCCGGTCACCTACGACGTGTCCAATGGGTCCCACAAATAGCCTGTGTGTACAGATCTTTCTGGCATTTCGAGATTCGCCAGATTGCCCAGATTGCTGCCATGAGATAGCCGCCATGCCTTGGAATCTGGTGGTCCCCACCACGAGACGGTTGCTGACATTTCTCTATTTCCCAGTGCCCCACACTGCTACTGACTTTTCCTTGGGCTTGGTGCCCCCCATTCCCCCTCTTCCCCCCCCCCCCCCTTTTGGCCTCTTCAGTTTTCAGAAGGGTCTGTGTAGTTTTCCGAAGGGTCAGTACATCTCTGAGCCTCTTCTGTATGAGGCGGATTCCCACTTTGCGCCAAGCTTTCCCGAAACGCCATCGTGGCGTTTTTGTTTTGGTTTTGGTGGGAGGTGCCAGCCAGTTTGGTCTGGTTGCCCCAAGCCTCCAATTTTTTTTTTGACTCTCAGGCGTAATTCTCAAGTTGGCTGGGGCCCTGTACTGGTGCTTTCGACCACCAGTGCTTCCAGACATCGCTGCGTGCATGCAGCCAGCCATTGCGACAGTGCCGTGACGTTTCCGGCGTCCCAGTCCCGTCTTCCATTCCAGAAGGTCGTGCGCGCATGCGGCCACAACTTTCGGACGTACTATGGGGCCTTTGTGGGACTGTCTTGCATTGTTGGGCGCTGCACGTCCTTGCTTTGTGGAAAATTTGCTGTGCAGCGGAATTGTTTGAACTAGCAAGCAATTCCAAACCTGTTGACCGAAACTTCCGTCGGTAGACATCAAGGCCGTGCTTACGGGCCTGGCCTGGCGGGCGGCCACCAAATTCGTTTGGGTGCAAACAGAAAAAGGTGGTTTGGCAATTTAGGGTCTGCCGGAGGGGCTGGTTTAAACCAGGTTCCAAACCTGTTGGCCGAAACTTCCGCCAATAGACATCAAGGCCGTGCGTACGGGCCTGGCGGGCGGCCGCCAAATTCGTTTGGACGCAAACAAAAAAAGAAGGTTTAGCAATTTAAGGTCTGCTGGAGTGGCTGGTTTAAACCACCAGTACTTCCTAAAGCCGTGCCCATTAACAAGCCACGGTCTTAGGAAATGTAGGGGCCACTACCGGAGCACCCAAATTCATTCGACTAGGAACATTTCTACTCTTTATTTTTTTCCACCGCTGATAGCTGCGCAAAGTATACTGGTGGTTTGAAGTTAAACTACCCGATGCCGATGGTTGTGGTTTCTACAACAAAGGCCCTATTAATTTCCAGTTGGTTCGTCGGGTGGTCACTCTGGCAGCCCGACGGGAAAACAAACAGCTTTTTCTTTTTTGTACTAGGCTGCAAGCCAGGCCGCCTGGCTCATGTTGTTTGCCCGGGCGGCCGGCCGTGCAAGGGTCAAAGGACCTAGCCAAAGAGAAAAAAAAGAAATCCAAAAAATCTGGAAAAAAATCATGTGTTATGCAGAAAAATAATCTGAACAACCTTTTTATTTTGTTGAAAAGAAGCGGTAGATACATTCCTATAGCCGGGAACTGGGCCCGGCGTCCCTTACATCATTTGCTGTGGCCAAATGGGCTAAGCAAGACACTTTTGGCCAAACCTATCGCCTCAGGGTCGCAACGAAATTCTTTAATGACTTTTTTGTTTTTGTTTTTGGGTTGGCCCGGCCAGGCAAGTAGTCCTAGCCCACTCTGGCAGCCTAGTTTGTGTATCAAAAGAAGCCTTACCAAGTATAAAATAAAAGGACTTTTTTTAAGGTTTTTTTTTTTTTTTTTTTTTTGTTGGCCCGACCAGGCAAGTGGTCCTAGCCCACTCTGGTAGCCTAGTTTGTGTATCAAAAGAAGCCGGGCCACACTCAGCATGGCAGTTGGGAAATAGAATTGTCGGTGAAGGGGAAAATTTTACAATTTTACCCCTCCGGCTTCTTTTTGGGAATGGGCATTGTCTTTGCCCTTCTTTACACTGTTAATGTCAACAGTCAGGCTAGCCAATCCGGCCGCCGTAAATATTATAAAAAGATCAGCTAAAAGTTGCCCAGCTTGGTTACGATTGAAACGTTCCGGCGGGTGGCAAGAAGTAGCTAGCTAGAATGTTGACGTCAACAGCATAAGCAGCTTGATTGCAATGGAAACATTCCTGCGGGTGGCAAGAAGTGGCTGTGGCTAGAATGTGGTGACGTCAAGAGCGTACGGGATTGGGAAGGCTACAGTATAAGGGATTGGGAAGGCTAGAAAAAGGGGGCGGAGTGTTGGTCGGTGATGGGTTTAAACCACCAGTACGTGCCAGCTATTGGCTTCAGGCCCCTTTTGGAGGCTGCCCGCCACCGATTTATTTTATCTACGGTGTGGGAGCCTCCAAAATTTCAGGAGAGACTCCATCGGGTTCTTAACTTGGCTGGGGCCATGTATGTTCCAGCCTGTTTTTCCCGAAACTGAGTTGGTGTTGGTTGATGATGGGTTTAAACCACGAGTACATGGCCCCAGCCTTGCAGTTCGAAGCTTGTCGCCACAAACGGGAAAAGGAGGCCGGAATGTCGAACGCTGGGCCCGCCGTTGATAAATTCGATCGGCGGCCCCATTTTCGTTTCGCGCCTCCAGAATTTGAGGTGTCGGATCTGCGGCCCAGGTGGCAATGTACTGCTGGTTTAAACCACCAGTATGTCCCAACCTGTTTTTCCTGAAGCTGAGGGGGAGATCCCACTGGCAAAGAAGATTGGAACAAGTGTCTGAATCTGGATGTGTTTGTGGAGAGGTGCAAAAGATTGTGAGTGATCTGCTTTTCTGGATCTCTGAGTGGAACACGTCCAGATTCAAACACTTGTTCCAATCCTCTTTGCCAGTGGGATCTGGCCCTGAGTTTTCTGGCGTGTGTCAAATTTCGTCGAACTCGTGCAGGCACAAAATCGCATTGTTTTGCCTGGCACTGCCAGTCTTCTCCTTTCGGTAGGACAAGCACTGAATGAGCTTTTGCTCAATTTGGCTCAGGTCTTCATGCGTCCTTTTCCGGATGAATCAAACCATATCTGACCCAGCCAGCTCTGCTACGGGGCAGCGAATGAGGCGACAAGCGTCCTCTACTACTAGCAGAGCACTAACCTGCGCTACGATCGCCACGTGTCCGTGGATTCCTCTCTCGATACAAAGTTGGTCCACCATAGCCTGGCAGGGATATCCTAGCAGCCATGACCTGGAAGAGGGAATGTGCCATGCCGCTGAAACTCCAGTAGCAAAGAAACGGAGGAGAGCGTTTCCTCCCTGTCTCTCCTCCCCTCGTCCACAGCGGCTCGTTGCCTCCTACCCCGGCTCCGACTTACTGGCGGGCACTTGTGTAAGATCTCCCGGATGGCGCCGACCTCTTAGCGACCAGCCATGGCTGGGGGAGGCTATCCTGTGAGGGAGGTGGGAGCTGAGGAAAAGGTGGGTGCTGGGGCATGTGGGCGCGGAGGCAGGTGCGTTCTGCCCTCTCCTAGAAACAGGGTAATGCCCAGCAACCTCATGCACAACTGAGGATTGAGGTGGCCAGCATGGGGTTTTCCAGAGTGCTGGGCAGACCTAGGCAGAGCTCCTTCCAGAGCCCTCCCAGCCGCTCTTGCTGAGGCATACTGGTTCTGAGTCTGAGTAGATACCAAGTACGTTGGATACTGGTTCCCTGAAAATTCGGGGGCTACCGGTTTGCCTGGGGCCATGGCCAACCTGTGGCACAACAATTTTGCAGCGGGATCTGCCCACTCAGGCCAATAGTACATTTTGTGTTTCTTTGAGTCAGTAAAAAACGAGAGGGATGCAATCGGTCTAGTGGCACACCTGGTTAAAAAAAAAAAAAAAAAAAAGCTTCCACTCTCCACTGCACATTGAGTGTAAGAGGCTCATAAGTACTTCGAAAATCAGGTATGTGTGCGACGCAGCTCATTTTCCGTATCCCGTGCTAGGTGGGCAGGATAGTGGTTCTTTTTTTTTTCTTTTTTTCTTTTTTTAACGTGGGCAGCATGGTTCACATGAGCTGGGTTCCTTATAGACCCCACAAAACTGAGACACTGCGCGTTCTTTCTTTTTGAAATGACAACGGTCGCAGAAAGGGCCTCGCTCCACGACTCACCAAATATGCAAAATGAGAATGCTTATTCCATTAGAACATGGAAAGATATATTGCCATATTTTGTCTTCTGTGCATGTGGTGCGTAGTGGAGCGAGGCCCAAACATAAAGGACTTTTCTTTTCTTTTTCTTTCTCAATTCCTTTCCAATTTCTAATTTGCTTGGACGGTGTTTGTTCCGTCTGGTGAACCATTTGTCTCAAGATAAAATCATCAGCTGTATGTTCCCGGAGCGCACGATATACAACTCGAAGGAGAATTCCTTCAATGCGAAAGTCGACTCTGTCCTCTTCCTTTGTGGTAGGTTTAGCCATCCGTTTGAAATTTGAATCCATCGTCGTAAATTCTTTTCCATTTCTCTTACCCTCTTATGTGTAGGAACATAGTTTCATTATGTTGGTGTTCCGTCTCTTCCTTTGGGCTGTAAATGACCCGATTGCGGGCCCAAATGGATCCAAGCCTCTACTGCTTTCGTTTGTGGGCCTTATTCTTAAACCACGGGTTCACCCCTATAAGGCTGGTTGCGGTATTAAACCACCAGCCGGCGAACCCTTTGGAAGACTTTGTCAGATCCAATGGATCTGGTCCGGGTTTCAAAAGAATCTTCCATGTAAGATACGCTGATGATTTTGTTCACTACTCTTATTAAAGGGAAGAGCTGGTCTCGCGTGACGGCGCCGTGAACCCAGCGCTCCTGTGCTCCTGTGTTGGGAAAGAGGGGTGGGACAAGGCGCGGGCCCAAAGGGAATTTGCAGTTTTCTCTTTTGCGGTTCCTGCGAGTTCGAAGGCCGGCGCGGCGTGGCATAAGTGCCAGTTTTCCCTTTTGCGTTCCGAGCGGGTCCAACGATTAGCGCACGGCGTGGCAGAAGCGTTTTTCTTCTGTGTAGACGAGTTCGATTGCTGTTGCTAGCTTGAAGTTTTCGGGTGCGGCGTGGCAGAGGCGTTTTTGCCCTTCGTACGACGATTGTGTGTGTGTGTGTGTGTGTGTGTGTGTGTGTGTGTGTGTGTGAGAGAGAGAGAGAGAGAGAGAGAGAGAGAGAGAGAGAGAGAGAGAG